GCTCCCGTAAAGATTTATAACCTTGGAAATCCTACAGAGAGTCACTGTAAGTCAGAAATTACTCAGGGGCATGTAACAAGTATGTTTTATCTTGGATAACAGCTTAACAAGTCACAATTAAATAATTTGTTCAGTGGCACTGTAGAGAAAAAACTGTGACTCTCTCCAGAAGGTACATGCCACAATTACCTAAATTTCTGTATCACCCAAGGTAGAAATACCTGAAGTACCACATCACTCCAAAAGTGTGAAGTGCAAAAGATATTTAACAATTATCCTTTTCCTAAATCTTAACATAGAAATAGCTTAAATAGCAGCCATATGTACAAATCCTTACCCACTAACCCACTGTACACATCTATCCCTTTCAAAGAAGAGAGCTACGTGGTTGGATTTTTAAAAAATTTCTACTTATCTTCATCAACACTCGCTTAAGAAACTTTTTTAAATCGGTAATAGCAACATGCCATTTAAATCTTGTTGTTGTTGTTCTTGTTAAGTGCCACTGAGTCGGTTCTGACCCATGGCAACCCTGTATAGGGTTTCCGAGGAGCGATTGGTGAGCTTGAACCACCAACCTTGCAGTTCAAACGGCTTTGCAGTCTGGCGCATTAACCCACAGCGCCACACCAGGACTCATCTTAACCAGATAAAAATTACTAGCAGCAATTGGCTTCACCTAACTTCACAAGGAATGAGAATCATCATCACCCTAAATCTGATTCCTATGAAGTGGAGGTCAGACATACCCGCTTCTCTGCAACTTCTCACCATTTCTGACACCAGATGACCCCCTCCACATACTCTCTTGCACTCTCTACCTCCTTGCTAGGTTGATAATTCATTGTAATCACCATATATATATCACCAAGCACACTCATGATTGTGTGATTTATATGGGTAGTAACAGCTACAACTCAGGGTCAGACAACTTGGAGTACAAGGATACAACTCAAGAGACAGAATTCAGTCAGTACAGCTTCCAGCCAAACAAGCTCTCAGGTCCTTCTTGGCCATGCTAGTCAATGACAGTCTGTCAGCTGATCCCCACAGGCCTATGTCCTGCTCAGGAACGTAAGCTCTGCAACAAGTGCTCGGAGGCACCCCACTCCCTGGACAAGCCTCCTGCCTAAAGGCATGGGTCAGCAAACACCCTGCAGCCACACCATACCAATCCCCTGGTTCCTGCAGCTCATGCTGCTGTCCTGTCTGTGTAGTCTCCCATCATCTTCAGTCTCAGAACTCTCTCATTCCTTTGTCTAGGAGGTTCTCAGTGCAGGAAAACTTGGTCCAAAAGACAAGTTTGCTCTAGGCACCTCCCACCAAGACAGCAAAGGAATCAATTACTTTGGAAGGTCAGTCACCTGATGGACCCATCCAAGCAAGGGTTTATCACCTTATTTGCATAATAAAGATTCCATTTGAAAGATTGTAGCACATCATCTTTGTTGTTGTTAAGTGACTCTGAGTCAGTTCTGACTCACAATGACCCTGAAAAGGGTTTCTGAGGAGCAGCTGGTGGGTTTGAACCACCAACTTTGCATTTAGAAGTCCAGAGTTTATCCTACAGAACACACTAGAACTCCTACAAATTATCTTGGCAGAACTAAAATACTGGGCCAGAACTACAAACCAACCCCCACAAAGGTTTTGGTTTTGTCGCTTTATTTGCATAACAAAACTGTCTAATCTCTTTGTAAAATGAAGCAAATCATCTTGGTACAGGGACAGAAAAGCCACATATTTTTAAAAAGCACATAAAAAGCCTTTGCATTGCACCAGGATACCAGTGTATTTAATCTGAATAGCCAGAGATTATTCTTCATTTCTTAATCCTGAAAATTAGCAAAGCATTTCTTCATAAACCTCACAAATAAATAGTGTCAATGTATAGTTATTCAATCCAGAAACCTGGGAATAAAATTGACATGTTTAACAAATAAGAATACAGATGTCTAGCTAACTTTGGGAGTCCTTGTGCGGTGCTTTAGGTAACCATGAAGTTGACGGTTCAATCCACCATTCATGCCTTGTAAACTCTATACAGGGTTGCTATAAGTCAAAACTGACTTGATAGCACTTAACAACAAGAAGCTAACTTTGAATTTCAGATAAATAATTTCTTTGTATAACTATGTCCCAAAAACTTACACTGAAAAATTGTTGTTTATCTGAAATTCACATTTAACTGGGCAGTCTGTATTTCATCTGACAACTTTACCTGGGAGGTATCCCTGTTTCTTCCTGTCACTTCTGACATGCAGCGTACCACATATTCTACTTCCTAAAAATATTCTACCTACTCTACTTTCAAAAATATCTGGAATCCATCCACTTTTCTCCATTTTCTCTGCCACCACCTTTGTCTAAGCCACCACTGCAAGAATCCATCAACTAGCCACCCTACTTCTAATTTTGTAGAAACACTACTTTAAATCCATCAACATCAATTTAACTAACACAAAGGAAAATGAAGACTAACTTCAAGTTTCTCTCTTCCTGGGGCCATTATTCTGTTAACTGTGTTGTTGTTTGTTAAGTGCCATAGGTTTTGACTCAGTTCCACCCTGTATAGGGTTTCTGAGGCATGACTGATGGGTATGAACCACCAATGTTGTTGTTAGTAGTCCTGCGTTTATCCTACAGCACCACACCAGGACTCCTTGTTAGCTGTAGAAATCTAAAACTCCTAGATCAGCATCAAAGGGGCCAATGAACTCACAACTTCGAAGAGGTGAGGCCTTTCATGAACAACCTCTGAAACAGTCCCTTTTCAACTTTCCCAAGGACTTTATGATCATTTTGCTAATCTGTGTTTATTGTCACAAAGGGTTGAACCAGGTAAGAATCTGTGCAGAAACGATAAACTTGGGATCAACAAAACAACATTGTCTTGCACTATTCTTGCCTTTCAGAAAAAAATTGTTAGGCAGCTTGGTTCTAGTCCACCTGATCATGAGGCAGATTTCTCCTATTCAAATCGATATTCTATGGCATGATGTATGCTGGCCCGGCCAAGATTGCAAAGCCATAGGTAGAGCTTTTAAGAAGTTGGCCAGTCAGCAGGTAGGAGTCAAAGATTGAAAACAAGTGACACCAACTTTTTTTTTCTTCTGATGCTCAGTAACAGCTGATACCTCCTGACTGATGAATAAATAAAAGAGGGCCTGGTGGCAGCTTTTGTAGGTTGAAAATCACCTCCTTTCACCAAAACTGCCAACCATGCCATTTTTTTAATTCTAAACATGCAAAGTTGTATATACATCACTGCTTTCAATCAATGCACAGATCTGAAGAAAGATTTTCCTATATATTAAGGTCCATAGAATGATTATAAAAACTCTCAGATCATTTCAGGTGTTTCAGAATTCTTACAATGGAAAATCTAAACATTCATCTCTTTAACACAAAATACCAAAAAGTCTTAATGTTGTTAATACTGAACAAAGAAATTCTATTCAAACTCTTCCCAGGTTTCACAAACATGTCTCACAAATGTGAGTTACTTTAGTCATGGCCTAGGTATTATTTAATAAACAATGCTGACTGTTGCGAAAACCCAATCACACTACCGTATCAGAGATAGATTTCATCTTCTTCTCCACAGTATTAATTTCAGATGGTGGATACCTGGCCAGATCAACAGTACAAATTAGAGAAGCATATGAAGATTTGGATGAAAAAATCTGAGTCAACATCTATCAAACCAATGAGTTGGTTTCGACCTACTGCAACCCTTTATAGGGTTCCCAAGGAGCGGCTGGTGAGTCTGAAAGTCTGACCTTGCGTTAGCAGTTCAGTACTTATCTAACAAATGCGATGCTGCAAAATCACACAAACCTTAGTGCGCACTGTATTTACGAATATTGTTGGCTCTGTGGATATCCACGTATCAGACAACGTCGCGACAGGCTAGAAACGCTCAAAGAAAACGGTAGCTCTCACAATCACAGTAATACTTGTAAATTCCTTCTTTGGGCCCATCTGACTACAGACCCCTAGACCTCAGGAATGCACTGATTTACAAACAGAACAAAGTGAGCTTTCTTTGGAGAGACTTCCCTCCCTCGGAGTCTAACGACCAGTGAGGATCAGAAACTCTGAAGGCGCCACAGCAGTCAGAAGCAAAGGTGATCACTTTAACTTCTGCTTCTGAAGCCAAACGTTGCAGACCTGGATGCCAGCAGTAATAACTGCCACACAGCAGTTTCCAATGTATAGCCTTCAAACGCAGAAAACCAGGGCGGTACTCGGGGTACACGTTCAGGGAGGCCCCCGGCTTTTTCTCATAATAAAGCTTTTCTTGAGGTGCTCTCCCAAGCCCACGAGAAGAGGGCACTAGTTGTATACTTATGTTTGGCAAAGTCAGTTACAGAGGGAAGTCTATGCGAGGCTACCTAACCCCGGGGCAGACTAGAATGGTGGTCGCCCACCTACCTCCTGTCCAGCCTGGGTGAAAACACTCTGCAGAGCCCGAACCAGTGTTCTGCTCCAATAGCACCGCTTACCTGGGGTGTGTGTCGAGAGGGGTGTTCACCTAGTGGGTAAGGGGGCGTGCGGCGTGCCCGCGTACTGCCCTCCCCCAGCGAACGCGAGGGCTAGTGGGGCTGTGCGGCGGCTGAGCGGCGTCCTGGCGCTTAAGGGCCCGGGCACCCACTGGAGGGTTCGCACCCTGCCGGGCGCGGAGTCTCTTCCGGGTGATACGCCCGCAGGCGAGCAGCGCTACGGGGCCCGGCTCCTCCGGAGCTCCGCTTTCCACGGGGTCGGCCCCTGGCTCCTGCCCCGGCCTTCCCCAGCCCCCGAACAGGCCCATGGCCTCTGACCCCGGGCTCTCGACCTCAACCTTTGAACACGTTCAGGACCCCAGACCCCAGCAGGCTCCTGCGCTGAAGGTCTCCAGTCATGAACCCCGCTCCCTGCCCGCGGCCGAGCCCACGGCCTCTGACCCAAGACCCCAACCCCGGCGCGAGCCCTGTCCTCTGTCCCGGCCGCGCGCTCACCTCTCCTTGGAGTAGAGCTGCCGCTGCTGCTCCTGTCGCTTCTTCCGGATGAACGCCATGGAGGGACTGAGTGAGTTCGCGGGCACCAGGCGCTCGGGTTCAGGCCCCGCCGCCTCCGGCCGAGGGCGCGGGCCGGGGAAGGCAGACTCGTAGCGAGGCTGCGCACGACAGGAGTACGGAGGCAGGCTTGGCTCCCGTGTGGGCGCCCTGGCGGCCGGGAGTCCACTACTGCACCCGCGCCCCGGCGTCCCGGCCGCACTTAGCGCGGCATCTCGGCGTCGGGACTCCGCGGCGGCGCCGTGACTCAGGCCGGAGGAGGGGCGCCGAGCGCCGTGGCCTCAGCAGTCCTCAGGGACTTGGAGGAGGACCTACAAGGCTACAAGCCCGAACTTTACTAGCTAAACTTTACCAGCCACTGCAGTGCTGCATTTTCAATATTTTATGTACGACAAATGCATGCTTGCCCATAAATTATACCACCCTTTTGGTTACAGGGACTTAAAATAATAACTTTTGGGGGTTTTAAAATAATTGGTCATAATGGCTTTCTTTTTTTTATAGCAGCTTTAGGAGATATAATTCACCTACCATACGGTACAATGCACCCACCGAAAATTTACAGGTTTTTAGTATCTACAATTCATTGGTTTTTAGTATTTTCACAGAAATTTACATCCATCACTACAAACAATTTTAAAACAATTTCATCGCCTCAAAAATAAACCTATCTCTGTAATATTCAAAGTAAATAAACGCAGTAAGAAAAAACAAAACCTATCATCCCATGTTTCTCCAATCCTCTCTTCAGCTCTAAGCAAGCACTATTTTCTGCCTTTATAGATTTGCTAATTCTGAACATTTCATATAAACAGGATAATAAAATATGTTTGTGTGTGTGTGCCTGACTTGTAGCACATATCAGTACTTTTTCTTCTTATTTCTGAATACCAATCCATTTTATGGATACACCACATTTTGCTTACTCATTAGTTTGTTCATGGACATCTGGGTTGTTTTTACCTTTTGACTATGATAACCAATGCTACTGTAAGCATTCGTGTTCAAGTTTTTGTGTGTGGGTATGTTTTCATTTCATTTCTGCATAAGAATGGATGGAGTCCTGGTATGGTGCTGTGGGTTAATGCCATGGAGTGCAAAGTCAATTTGAACTGCAAGGTCAGCAATTCAAGATCACCAGCTGCACCTTGGGAACCCTGTACAGGGTCTATGTGGGTTGGAACCGATGGTACTTAACAAAAGAAGCAACAACAGTGGAATTGCTAGGTGGTATGTGTGGGGCTATAGTATAAGTAAGTACTAGACTGCTAACTACAAGGTGGGCAATTCAAACCTACCAACCAATCTTTAGAAGCCCTAAACAGACAGAGTGACCATGAATCAGGCCTAATTCTCAGGCACTTATTGTTAACGCTGTTTGACTGACTTTGATTAACAGCGAGACTGTTTCTAAAGAGTCTGCACCATTTTACATTTCCACTAACAGAGAATGGGGATTCCAGTTTTCTCCACATTCTCTCAATACTTATTTTTGACCAACGCTTATTCTTGTCCCTTTTGATTTTAGCCATTCCACTGGATATGAGGAGTCCTGGTGTGGCACTGTAGGATAAGCACTGGACTGCTAACCAAAGATTGCATCTACTCCTTGGAAACCCCATACGGGGTCACTATGAGTCAGAACCAACTCAACAGCACTTAACAACAAATTGTAGAGACATTGTTGGCTGAATGGTAGAATGCTTACCTTCCATGCAGGAGACCTAAGCTTGACTAAAACAGATTAGAAAGAAAAGCCTGCCAATCTACTTTGGAAAAATCAACAATGAAAATTCTATGGACCACAATGATCTGATCCCATGGTTCATAGGTCACCATGAGTTGGGGGCCAGCACAACACATTGGGTTCACAACAACAGCAACAAATTTGTATATATACTGAAGAACATTCCATCTGGTTTTAGGGACCAGGTTCTTTAGGGTTATATTTTTTTTAAGCTTTAAATTGCATGTGCACCTTTACTCTCTTAAATATGTGTCAGGACTCTGAAAAGAAAGCAGGGGACCCAAGAATAAAAGCTGGCTGGCTGGCTTTTGCTGAATCTGATACCCAGGAGCATTGCTAACAATGTCAGGCATTTTGTTGTTGTTAAGTGCTGTCGAGTCGGTTCCAACCCATAGCAACCCTTTATAGGGTTTCCAAGGAGTGGCTGGTGAGCTTGAACCGCCAACCTAGTGGTTCAAAAAGACTTTGCAGTCCAGTTCATAAACCCAAAGCACCACACCATTGTGAGTGCCTACTGAAAACTTTTGGAATAAATAAAGGTGCATGGGTGCCGTATGACTTAGAAGGAGTGTTTCTTGCGTGTCCAAGTGCTGAACAGGGCAACGTGGCAGACTAGGCAGAAATGCTACTCAGACCCTCTACAATAAGCATGTGGAAAATCAAATGAAACAGATCCAGGTGATAGTCCTGGAACTCTGAAGGGATAGAGAAATGGACCAAATACTTACTAGGAGAGAGAACTGAGCAAACACAGCAAAAAGAGAGAGAGTTTGGTGATCTGGGCTGACTGACTAGACAGACACAGCCGTCTTGAGCTTTTGTAAGTGGCTTCAGAGACAAGAAAACATGGGCATTACAGAAACACCTGTGGCTTGCAGAGATAAAGTTGTAATTTTGTTTTTGTTGCCCACACTCTCCTGGGTGACCAGAGAATCCTACTTTCCCAGTGGTTGTTGCTGCATGAAGATGAGTGCCACAGATGTGAGTTCCATTAAAGGAAGGGGGAGCTATCTGCATTAACCCCATTTGGGTGGTTCTGCAACAAATCTGCAGAGCCTACCTGGGCCAGCCCTGGAATAGCCCTCACTAGAAGAAGCAGCTGAACAGACATGTGATGAAAAAAAAAAAAAAAAAGATGAGATTGGTGATCTGTGCTGACCAGCCAGATATGCTATGGATATCTTGACACAGATGACGTTGAAGACAAGAGGGCAGTAGCACAGAGGCATACCACTTACTGGTGGAGAGAAAGGTGCGAAATTTTTTCTGGTACCTCATATTATCCTGGTGACCAGAGGTATGACCAGCAAAGCTCCAGCTTTCTGGACAGTTGAAGTCAAATCAAAGTATAGGGAGCTAGCTAGCAGCGCCGACCCTAGCACCTGGAATCAGATATGGCCTGCTCCAGACTTGCAGAGCTGATTCTTGTGAGCCCTGGACTAGCAGGATCTCTCATCCTTGTCTACTCTTTGGGATGGAAATACCCTGATTCCCCAACTGTTTTGGGGTCTGCACAAGCAACTTTCAAAATGGGTGCCCAGAACAGACAACACCTAGCCTGACAGGAACTCCCATCTAGGGTTGAATGCTGCTGTCTCATCCCTTATCCACCCATGATGTGAGTCCTTGACTGGCAGAAGAACCCAGAATCTTTTAATATCTGGGCCTGGCAGCTGCACTAGTTGTTTTTTCGTTAATTTGTTTGTTGATTCTTTCTTTCTCATCTTCCTGTCTCTTGCTATCTATTTGTACTATCTCCCCTTTCATTTTTTTTTCTTTCTTTTTTAGCTTCTCTTTTACAACTGCTACTGCTGCCTTATTCTTTTTTTATTTTAATTTTTGTCCCACTCTTTGTTTTGTTTTGTTTGTTTTTTACTGCTGTCTGGTCTCTTTCTTTTTTACTCATTCCTCTCCATAATTGTGTTTAGTTCTCTTTTTAAAATTTTCTCTTTTCTTTATTTCTTTTTAATTATTTTATTCTCCTCTTTTCCGTCTTTGGTTTCTGTATTGTTTTCAAGTTGTTGCCTGCTTTTTAATTTTTCTTTATTATTTTCTTTTTTCATCATCGTTTGCTTGTTTGTCTTCCTTCTCTCTTTTGTGTATGTTTTCTCTTTTGCCTCACCTGACAGGAGACCTTAACCAAGTCCATACAACCCAACCACAACCATACTCAATAGCCTGACAATTGGACAAAGCCAATACCCGCAGTTATACACCGGGTCAACAAACAACAACCAACATCAACTAAATGCATTATGAACTGAACAGAGAGTGGTAAACAAGCACATCCCTTAAGCGCACCCACCAGGAGGCCGTTGATGAGTGCATAAGAAAATGCCATATGCAATCATCAACTTAATACAAATACAAAAGCACCGCAATGTCTTGCAGGCAGCAGACAATTTCTTTTCACACAAAGAAACAAGACAGAGTGTCTCAAATGAGTGGCCAAGAGGCAGAGCTACAAAACATTTTTGAGGGGGAAAAAAGGCTTTGGAATTACCTGAAAAAGAATTCATGAGAATGATATTTAGGTACCTCCAACTGACTGACATTGACAGAAAGGGTGAGGAAAATAAGAATTCAGGAAAACCCTGCAGGAACAACCAAACAAAATAAATAAAGCATTGAAGATACTACAAAACATGCAAATAGAAATCCAGAAGATAAATACTAAGATTTCAGAAATATTGAAAGAGGAAAGGAATAGATTTGAAGTAATAGAAGGCTGAATTACTGAACTTGAAAATAAATATCTCAATACTAGGTAAACCAGAAGAACAATCAGAAAAAAATCTGAAGATAGCCTAAGATGTGTGTGGGACAACATGAAGAGGAATAATTTACAGGTGATAGGAATTCCAGAACAGGAAAAGACAAAGGCAAGCACAGAAAAGACAGTCAAAGAGTTGTTAGAAGAAAAATTTCCTAGCATCATGAAAGACAAGAAGATAAACATTCAAGAGGCTGAATGAGTCTAAGACAGGACGGATCCCAGGGGAGGTAGCTGGAACATACCATGATTGGATCCTGTAGGAGCAGGGGTGGGGGTGGGGCCCTGAGAGCAGCTCGGGGAAAGACAAGAAGCTACCTACAATGTAACTGAGCTCTGTTTTCTCACCGGAGACCATGAAAACAAGAAGGCAATGGGAAGACATGTACAGGGTCATGAGAGGAGGAAAATTGCAAACCAGTGGGGATATCGCTTGACTATGAAGATGAAATTATAACATTTCCAGATAGACAGAGATTGAAGTAGAGTGTGGTGGCCAGGCCAGCTTTGCAGAGAATACTGAGGAGTTCCTTTGGACTAAGAACCAACAACAACAGTAAAC